TTGCTATTGATGTAATTAAGTTACCATCTGTCGTTATATTATCCACAAGGTCATCCCCAAATTGGTCTAAATCGGAAGATATTACAAGTGAAAACATTAACAAATGGAAGGCTTGGTAGTGTTGGTGTCAAATGCCTCTTTGGCCAGTTGCACATACACTTTCACTTCACTGCTACTTATAAAAATAGAGACGCTGCCCACAAATGTCAATAAGATTTATGGTTTCTGCGGCGTCCAGTTACCAGTGTGCCGCGGAAAGCTGCACTTCACTCAAAGGAAGAAAATAAATAAATACTCCGAGGCGGATGAAAGTCAAACTTTTCATCCGCACCATGAAACTAAAAATGTGAACGATTTATTAGAGATTAGCTTCCGTCTAAATATCTTCTTACACAAGTTCTAACGTGGTTTATGTTTTTACTTTGAAGGTTTTCCTCATGTTTGAACTTTGAACTCACGTACTGCTGCTCCAAAACGAAAACAGGTTCACCTACAAGAGAACCTCTCAAAGGACTAAAAAGTGACAATATTCTACCCAGAGAACTCTGGTATAAGAAATGTTCATTTCAGGATGAGGCATTAAATGTGCTTTTATTGAAACAAATGGGGTCAGTTTTAAATTTTACATTTAATTTCCCATCTGGCTATTTTTTGTAAAAATCCCTTAAATACATTACAAATTACAAAAAAGGTGAATCTATGAATAGATTCCCAGAATTTGTATGTGTAGCAAAGATAGCTTTGATGTAACATTATGATTTTGTGCATTAAAACAGTGAATTCTGTAATTAATTTTGAATCTGGATTGAATCTGGAGGCATATGATTGCATATGCCTCCAAAATGTCTCATTTTTAAAGCATAAGAAGTTTAAATTATGCCTTGTGAAGCCAGTCAGGACTTGTAATTAATCAGATTAGTCTATTATGTATTACTTCAACACTAAACTAGCACAAAAGTGATACAATCAACAAAAAAGATGACTATTTTGTCCATTTTCCAAAAATTAATTGCATTGAAGTGACTTGGATCGATCTGGACTGAAGGTGGAGCAAGTTGGACCTGTTTATCTTGTATTTAGTACCGTGAGAAGCCATTTGTCGTGAAACTGTGCCAAATAGATAAATTAAAAATATACTGTCGGATTCTAACATTTACCAAAACGGCGGTTGATTGAATTTTTTAAAAATTGTCAGACTCGCATGGTTTTGACTTTGCATGAAGGTGAACAACTCTTCAAAATTCCGGATGTATTGGGTTAAGAAATAATCTTAAGCAATAACAACAAAACAGGACAACTAAATTGTACTCCGGTTCGTTCTTGTGGACTCACCCGGCAGGTCTCGATCTTCACATGTCACTGGTAAGTTTGTGAAGAGCGTCGGTTTTGTTAGCCGCATCACTGTGAAGTAAAGCGGTTTGGGTTATTGACGGGACACATTCTGGTTACTATTGATGGTCAAATGAGGAACTAAACGTCTTCTGAGCTAATAATTTGAGCTAATTGATTAACAAGCAAAGTTATGCAGACCCCATTTTAACAAATTTATGAGTTCGGCATCCCGCCATGACGGGTAGACTTTCTAGTTCAAGCACAGTCACAGAAAACCTCCCTTTATATTAAACAATTTCAAAGACTGCTACCAGCGCTGCTAGCACCTGAAAGTACAAACAACTCCCTGATAAGATGTAAATAATAATTTTTCGCAACTGAACTTGTTCTGGAAAAATAATGTGTGTGTTCTAGAACTGTAATTACCTTTTAAAGCGAGTAAATGTTCTTGTTTTGCCTGGTTTACATCCATTTTCGCAGAAAAAACCCGTTTCCTCTAATTAGCCGCGAGGCTAACAGGTTGTTTATCTGCTAGCTGCCGAACTTTGACACCACAGGAAGTGAAACTCTTCTTCGTCCTCGTCTCATGATGGAGCCCTGCCTCTAGCGGGCCAGAATACGAACTGCAAAAACACAGTCTCTTACTGTATTTTATTTCACCGCACTTGGCTTTCTCTCAACCATGACCGCCTGCTGAACCGCCTGTATATTTAGTATATTATTAACTTTTTGTAACCAGCCAAGGTTGTTAACATTCCTTTTGTGTTGTACAAATCTGTCTACATGTATATTTTCTAGTAAAATATAAACAAACAAACGAAAACCCAATAAAGCAAAGTATGTTTCTTTCATGGCAATTCAAAGAAAGTATCTCAAAGAAAACATGAGTTACAGCAAATTTCTTTTGTCTTTGAGATGAATAAAGTATTTTTAGTTTCTGAAAGAATTATTTCTTTTGAATAGGTCCATATATTTCTTGTCGGAACTTGACGGAAAACATACCATTACTAACACTACTACTACTACTAATAATAATAATAATAATTTACATATTTTATGTGTCACGGATTTCATTTAATTGCTTATGTTACAAAGAAAACTTGCCAGGTTTACTGAGTGCTGCTCTCCACTGACATCTATTGGCATGCAGTTGCAACACAACAGGCCACCAACAATGCCTACAATTTTCAGTATTTGTCCGTTTTCAGCTTATGTTTCTGAAATATTGACAGCTAACTGGAGATTAAACAGTGCCCTCCCTGATGGACAAATATGCAGCGTGTAAATGTCGGATTGAGCCCTGTCTTTATTCTCCAGAGAGCAGCCAGTGCAAAATGTGTGGCACTCGTAATGGAATCAGACATCGTGTGTGTTTCTGGGTTTTGCTTGTCCCCAAATCCTTCCTGTGTTTGTTTTGTTCTCTTCTCTGGTTTACATTTTTTTTAGCTCTGTTTAGTTGACTTCCTGGCTCTGTGGAGTCTTTGTTTATACAATCATTGTCATAACTCTCTTACATGTGTCTGTCTGCACACGGTAGAAGGTGCATGAAGCCTGGGTGACATTTTCAGACTGGTAAATGATTCATATTTCTGAAGCACTTTGACAAAACTCTAATGGAAAGTGGAAACATTCTTTCACAACAGTGCTTCAAGTCATGGCTTCAGGCAGTATTTGGTCAAGCATACTGTCAGTAGAACTTTATAATGACTGAGCCGACACATAAAGGACACAATGAAGTCATTTTACTGGGAGTGCCACAAGATATGTAAATAGCAGGGTCATTATGATTCGTGTGTGTGTGTGTGTGAAACAATTCTAAAAGCATTTTATGTTTCCAACATGCACGCGGTTAACAGTGGGTGCATCACACGTCATAGAGCAGAACCGTGACTGGAGCACTCAGCGACATGTTGTGTATGATCTGCTTGGAGCAGATGTTTTCATCCTCCTCGTCCTCCACGAAGACGGACAGGAAGCGCGCGGGCTCCCAGGGCACTTCCTGAGTCTGCGAGGCCAGCACGCGCACGCAGCTCACGTCCTTCCTGAAGCCAAACGTTTTAGTTCCCGGAAGCGCCTCGTCGCCGCCGCCGCTCCGCGCAGCGATGAAGGCGTCGATCTCCCGAGCCTCCTCCATGATGAAGACGCGCACGTTCCTCTGGCTGTGGTTGCTCATCTGGCAGGCAGAGCTCGTGTTCCCCATGTTGTCCGGTGCTTTATAACAGGAAGGACTGTTGTGCAGGGCGGGAATGTTGACAGCAGTGAATCATGAAACATTAAAACACTTGATTTGATCATGTCAAATACTGCGACATAAAGTTTTATATATATATATATATATATATATATATATATATATATATATATATATATATATATATATATATATATATATATATAAAAAACGCAAGACATGTTCACACGTGTTCAATGTTTAATTTAATCACATTTCTGGTCGTCTAAAAGTGAAATGGTCTTTATTTTCAAAGTATGTATCCCAAACATAGACATTTCTATTGTTTAAAAATATGCAGGCATGTGTACACACATGCGCACACACATGTTGGAGATAAGAAATATAATATAAATTATAATAAGGAGAAAGTCAAAATTGTGTACATAATTTTCCTTCCACACCACAATTGTCTACAGCTTTGTTGGTCTGTCACATTAAAAGCAAAAAAAAAAAAAAAATGCATTTAGATGTTTTGTTTTTTGTTACAAGACAAGAAATAAAAGATTCAAATAAATAAATATGTACTTTTTTAAAATTTATTTTACAACAGAACAGTTGTCTAATTTTGAAATTTAAGCAGATCAGAGGCTATTAATGACACCAGGTGTATATTTGTACCTTCCGTTAAAAGCTATGAAACAAACCTCACAAAGCGAATATTTGAAGTTGAGAACTCTTACCTGCTGCTCCACTGAATGTAGCGAAGACTGATGCGCAGTGTTTGTCTGCCTCACCAGAGCCATTGGGGCGATATGGGCACAGTCTGATAATATGCAAAAAGCATCACTGGGTCACATAATGCGTCTGCGACGTTTCACATCTAAGACAGGTTTTAAAATTAGGCTTTTTTAAAATCAAAAGTGAATGAAAGGAAATGTTTTTGTCAAAATATACGGGAGGGGAGTAAGACCATCTTGTGGTCTGAACTTTTTGTTTGCATAGAAAGCCCAGTTTTAACAGCGGTGAGTACTTTTGGAGAAAATAAAAACAACAACCAGAGGCCCATAAGATGGCCATGTTGAATGGCCATTTAATATTAATATGGCTGATTCTAAGCTCTTAATGTTATGGTTTGCTTCCTTTTTTAAGTATACTGCTCAAAAAAAAAATAAAGGGAACACTCAAACAACACAATATAACTCCAAGTAAATCAAACTTCTGTGAAATCAAACTGTCCACTTAGAAAGCAACACTGATTGACAATCAATATCACCTGCTGTTGTGCACATGGAGTAGACAAAAGGTGGAAATTATTTTCATATTTATTTCATTCATTCAGATCTAGGATCTGTTATTTGAGTGTTCCCTTTAATTTTTTAAGCAGTGTGTTTCCTGTTAAAGTTTCAAATCAAAACAAATGATGTTGGGTTTGGAAACAAGAGTGGCAAAAGGAGCTGACATCACAAGAAGCAATCTATAGAACCTGAATCACAGAGTCAAAGATACACCATTTGCCTACAAGCCTTCGTCGAGCGAACAGCTTTTCAGCCTCACAGCTCGAAGAAATCAGCGGAGAGACAAAACTGAAGAATATTTTAACGAGCAGGTTAGGAGAGAGAAGTGGACCATGTCTGAACACGTCAGGTCAGTATATACAGGGACAGGGAGAGAGATTGTTTTTTGTAATTCTGTAACATTTAAATAACCTGCTGAATTCAATATAACAACAGGAAATTGTAGAGTGGAGTTGTTTTTTTGTTTTTTTCCAACAATAGTCCCTAATTGTGTAGAAAACAAACTCCTTAATATTAAGTTTAATAAAACTACCATCAGTAGCTAAATGTGGTTTTCCCAGTGATTCTGCAGAGGTTCCCAGTGATTCTTTATGATGTCAATCAGACATCATAAAGGCTTCATTATAAAATATGGTATCACAGAAGACATGTTTATAGACGTGTTTTTAATCATGCATAACGAGTTTCATCACCAAATGTGGTTTCACATTTAAAGGTGCCTTGCAAAAATGATTTGTACACCTTAAGCATTTTTCACACAACAGCCACAAATCTCTGAGCAGTTTCAAGAGTCTTCATGTGAGATTAACTTAGATCTGAACTTTGACTAGGCCATTCCAAAACATGAAGATGTTTCAAAAGAAAGTACTATTTTGTAGTTGGTTGTTTCTCGAAGGTGAGACCTCATTAGAGTTCGAAGCATTTTATAGAGTCTAGATGTAGATAGGTAGAACGTGGGTAAGTATTTTGGAGGACGAGCATAAATAAATAAGTAAATAATAAAAACAACAACAACAATAACAATACATTTATTTATTCCCCTGGTTTAGTATTTGTGCCAGTTTGGCACAAATACTAAACTGGAAAATATAACATTTTTTTTACTTAAGAGTTGATTATATATTTTATTCCAAAAGGTAATTGCATACCTTAAAAAAACAAACAAACAAACAAACAAAACAGTTTTTGGTGGATAATTTAAACATGATGCCTGCAGCACGGCAATTTAATATGATATTAAATGGCAGCTTTCTATCTTCATATGTCAGGCCGAGTTCAGTGAAGCCCAAAGATTCGAGGAGCTCCGTCTCCTCCCAGGAGCTCACCGAGGAAATCGACCACGCCCTGCCAGAGAAGAGGGTGAAGTCTGACAACGACTGGAACTATATAGAACAGTTTGTTAGGGAGGAGCTCAGCCCCTCTCCTTGTTCATTTCCGACGCGTCCTCTTCCTCCACAAATCACAGAATGTCATTACTCTGTGATCCGGATGAGTTCGGGGAATAAGGAGGATTTAGAGAGATCTGTCTCAGAGAGCAGCCTAATCCTAACAACGAAGAAGGAAGTGCTCAAAACGTGGGAGTTTGTAGACGGCCTTCTTACGGAGAGTTTAAGGAGTGATGAAGATTCAGAGAACTCTGCCTCTAGTAAGAAGTTCAAGGAAGAAATGAACTCGACCCTGCAAGAGGAGCTTGAAAACGAAAACTGGACCGACAGAGACAATATGGAAGACCTTCTTAGGAAGAAGCAGCTCCTCCCTCCTCCTCTATTACTGACACCTTACACTTCGCCTGCCTGGCTTGCTCCACCACAGTCCCACACCAACACCGTACTGACTCAGGGTGGAGTTCAAGAGCACATGTTCATGCCTCCACCTCCAACATTTACTCATCATGCTCCTCTTCGTGCTCATCCGCCTGTCATCCGTGCTCCACCAGGGGTCACCAGTTACACCAACGCTGCATTCAGTCGGGGAGCACAACATCATCACATGTTCAGGCCTCCACCTCCAACATTTACCCATCATGCTCCTCCTGCTCTTCTTGTACTGCCTGCCGTACAGCAGATGACGATCCAACCTCCTGCCCAGCCGGCAGGGGGCGATGATAGCCAGGGACCGGTGAGTCAGTGACAGAGAGAGATGCCTTACTTCACTAAATATGCGAGTCAATTAAGTATTATTTAATAGTGCAGCAGATAATTGTATAATTCTATAAAATCTTTATCATCTGGATACAAGAACCTGTTACATCACTAGTTTTTGCGAGTGGTGGGAACAGCTAATTAGAAAACTTGGGTTCATTAACCGCTAACTCGCTAAACGACCATCTTAGCTACAGCAAGGCTAAACCGCTAAAACCATAAAAAAACTCAACAGAAGCTAACGCTAAGCTGCTAACAACATCAAAGATTAGCAAAAAAGAAGCTAAAACCCCATTATAATATTAGCTAGAACTAACCATTACTTAGTTTTAATGGTTAGCCAACCATTAAGACAACTGTCCTAACTATTAAGATCACCATCTTAAAGGTTAGTCTGAATAGTTAACTATTGTACTTGTTAGCTAACAATTAAGACAACGTTTTTAATGGTTAGTCTGAATGCTTAGCAAGCCATTCAGACACTTGTCTTAATGGTTAGTCTAAATGGTTACAGCTAACTGTTGATTTGAGACTTGCAAACGGCCAAGTCCATCATTTCTGATTTTGCTGCATGTTATTAGGTTTGTGGGGTCCAGTAACCTGCTGGGTCGATTTCAATCCCAGTGGCTGGTTGTAACACACTTATTTTGTGTTTTTAACCTTCAGATTCTGCACGATGTACCCATACATCATCTACCTGAAAATGTAACGCTACAACCAGTTGGAGTCCTGTACGTAATACACATATAAAGACCAACCACACTCTATAAACCTGTGTAGCTTTTGTTTGTATGTCCACACAGTCATCTTGTTACTGTGATTCTGTGCAGGAATGGAGAAATCTTGTACAAGGCTGTCCAGACTCCTCTGAATGTCAACACCTCAAAGTACCTTTTTAAAAAATGGATTCCTTCTAGTTGTTCTCGTATCTCTTGTTGCGTCTCAGCTGATCAGGTTTCTGTGTTCTTACTTTCTTTTTTCTCTCTCTCCGCTGTACCTCGTTACAGACGAGTCAGAGTCAAGCCGGATGACGGCCGACCCTACGTTAAAAAGCCACCAAACGCCTTCATGATTTTCCAGAAGGAGCTGAGACCACAGGTGGTGTCGGAGCTCAATACCAACAGAAGTGATATGGTGAATAAAGTCATGGGAGAAAAGGTGAGTCAGACTGATCCTGAACTTTCAGGAAAACTGCGTCCAGTTAGATAATATAAGATCATGATGATGTGGTTTTGTCTAGTCTGCACTGGAAAAAATAGAGAACGTAACTCTGATTTACAAAAAAAGAGATAATTTGCTACATGTAAATGAATAAAACTTAATCTACATTTATTTAAAATAACAATTTAATAAACGTAATTGCATAAACTTCATTTGATTATTTGTAACAGATTAACTGCGATTTCCTTTTTATTGAATCTGCCGTATTCTTTTTCCACTGCAAGTTCACCTCTGTTACAACTTAAAAAGTAAAAACAGGAAAGTAAAACTTCCAGAAGTATTGATAATAATACTAATAATACCATCTATTGATGAAAGTTCATCTTGATCCCTCATGAGCAAAGCAGAGTCTGAAACTAAATCAAATGCAGTAAAAAAAACAAATTGGAAAAACTCAAGAAGCAAATAGTTTAATATTCCTGGTTGTGAGTGTTGCATCAGCTGCACTGCTCAGTGCTGACATGGTTCTGTCGTGTTTCCACAGTGGAACAGTTTGCCAGTCGAGGTGAAGGCCAAATATTTTGAGAAGGCCAGACTGGAACAAAAGCTCCATCAGCAGCAACACCCTGGTTGGTCCCCCAATGATAACCATGTACGTGTTTTCTGTTCAAACACCAGCTTAATGCTTATAAAACACCAAGACCAGAATTAGATCCTTCCAACTGAAGTCTGATACATTTCACTTTTAGGGCAAGAGGAAATGGGCAAAAATTAAGACGAGCAGCAGCAGCAGCAGCAGCAGCAGCAGCAACAGCAGCTGCAGCAACAGCAGCAATACAGCCTGTAAGACTGATTTCTGTTCATCCCTGCATGTGTTCATACGATAAAAATATAAAATATGCTCAAAAAGAGTCACTTTGGATAACATGACTGTCAGTTCTGTGGAGTTTGAGTAAATACATTTTATTAAATTCATGCCTCTTGAACATTTTCCAGCTTTCTCACAAACACAATCCTCAGTTTATTTCATTAAAATGGTTTCATTTGCACACTGAGCTCTGACAGCCCTTAAAACCCGAGTTTAACTCTTAAGCATGAACTGTTCACTCCACAAATCAAGCCTTTGCGGAGGAGTGAAAAGAACAAAGCCGCCTTTGAAAGAAATTCATAAGAAATGCCATTTACATTTTGCCACCAGCCATATGCAGGAAATGACAAGACGTGTGCGCCTGTCGAATGTGACCAACATGTTCAGTGCTACATGCATAATGCTACTAGTGAAGAAGAATGTATAGGTTTCCTCTAGCAAGATGGATGGAGTTAAATTCAGGGCCGTCCTGGAAAAAAAAAAACGTGTCAGAGGTTGTAAAAAAAAAAAAAGTGAGTCTGGAGCTGAGGTTCATCTTTCTGCAGGAGAAAAAAACTAAAAGAGAAACATGGCCCAGTCAAAGCCCAGACCTGCATAAATCTCAGAATCTGTGGCAAGACTGATTGAAATCAGTCACTAAAAATAAAATCTGAAAACAAAAAATCAGTCTGTATCTATAGTTTAACTTGAAAAATGCTTCCACAAAATGCTTTCCTACTGGGGCTAAATGTAAATGAATGCTATATTTTTTTAGTTTTTTTTATGGTAAAAAGAAAGACATATAAAACAATTAATTACTTTCCTATCTCTTTATAGTTAGTTCTCTTTAAGTCATGTGAATACGTTTGTGAAACAGACACAAAAGCGTTCATTTAACTCTTATTAGGTATTCAAAAGATATTCAAAAGCCTCTTCATATGCAGAGAAAGTACTTTACAAAGCACAAACTCAAGATTTTCTTCAATTTTTTTTAACAGTCAGAAAAAGAACCTATTTTTCTCATTGAAAAAGCTCAAGTTTCCAGATTTCAGAAATCTTTCAGTTTCAAACTATTTTTATTATCTAATTAAAAGAGTTGCCATGTTTAAAATGTGACATTTTGTACACAAACACCTAAATACTGTTATCATATTTGCTAGTTTTATCTCCCTCTGACTTTGTGTCCTTTTTCTTTATAATTCATAGACACTCCAAGGCCAGTCCCATTTCTCCACTTAATCCCAGACTCCGCCTCACAGTCGGCCCAATTCCACCGAGAGCCCAACTCCAGCGAGAGCCCAACTCCAGCGAGAGCCCAACTCCAGCGAGAGCCCAACTCCAGCGAGAGCCCAACTCCAGCGAGAGCCCAACTCCAGCGAGAGCCCAACTCCAGCAAGGGCCCAAAGAAGACTGATTGAAGACTCCTCTTCTAGTTATAACAATTAAAGTGTTTTGTTTTGCATTTAAAAGGCCTGGTTTCATAATTTAATACCAATCCAACAAAGAAATTAACAATGTCACAGAAGCTGTTTTCTTGAGCCACACATTAATCAGTTTGACTTTTCAACTGAACACATAAGAGTAACAACATACTCTTATGTGTTACTTTTTGTGTGTATATTTTTTGGAATTTCGCAATTCCAAAAAATATACACACAAAAAGCAGAATCTCAAGAGAATGTGGGTGAGGCCGAGCCGACACGCTGACATTCAGAGCGTTTCACCTTTTCTTTTCCTTTACAATAAATACAAGCGTTTGTGTTTTAACAGTTAGCAAACTCCAGCAAATTAATCTGCCAGTGAAACTATCCCTTTTAAAATCAATATTCAAGAATTACTGACTTAAAACAAATCTTGCTGAAAATGTTATGTGTCTTATTTTGTCTTATTTCAAGGGTGCTAAGAGGATTTGGACTAGAAACTACACCTGATATATTTGGTGATATTTTGTGTTTTTTTCAGTGGTCAGTGACCCTCAACATACAAATGTGCTAACATTGAAAAAGACAATATTCTACAATCTCAGTGTTTCTGTCAAACACTGAAATCAGAAACACAAAATATAATCCATTAAATTAGAGACACAAAAAAACCCCAAACAGATCACACATGAAAAGCGAGTTTGTTCATTTGATAAGATAGAAAAAAAACCATCATTCTCCCAACACTTCCTGTTGCCTTCTTTGTCGTTTCCGCCAGCAGTAACTTCTGGTTAATGCTCTGGGGAGGCTTCTGATGCTAAAAAAATAGTTTCTATGGAGGTTTTGCAACATACGGCAATTTCGATAGAGCGGCAAAACCACCGCATCCTCGAACAAAAACCTTCAGGAAAAAAACTAATATATATATATATATATATATATATATATATATATATATATATATATATATAATATATATATATATATATATATATATTATATATATATATATTGGTTTAATTGCTGTGTTCTAATTAAGCAAATTCCAATTTCGCAATTCCAAAAACGCAGCTAGCTAACGAAGCTCTTGTGGTTGAATGGGTGCGAAACCTTTTGAGTGATGATACTATGCGCTTTCCTCATAGTGAAACCTTTGTGCCCTGATGTGGACAAACTGCGCAACAATTAGTTTTTTTTTTTTTTTTATCTCTAAGGTTTAACCCTTTTGAGTGCATCAGGGTTTGCATACAGGCAAAGCGAAAAGCCGCGGACAGATAGAACCTGTCCTGTGGATCCCCTGCTGCTGTCCAGCACTCCTTCCTGGGACAATGAGGCCGTGGCTGCTGCTGGTCTCTCTGGTCCTCTCTGACCTGAGTCTCCTTGGAGATGGGGACTGGATTATGGGTTACCTTTACTGGCCCTTATGCAGAAAGCTGCTCGTCAGCAGACCCAGAACACCCTCGGAAAAATCTCACGCCGCGCACAGCTGTCCGTGCCTCCACCAGTACCGTGTGTATGTGGCTGAGCAGCAGATGCAAAGGAGCCTATCTTTTTACTGGACACACAGACTCCATTATTCTAACCGGGAACTGGAAAGGATAGTTCAGGGGATTCGTTTTCCAGCGCTGGTATGCTTTTGTTCCCCTCTGTACTATGTTAATGATAATCTTAACGCAATCTCTCACCTGATTATTAAACTGTTGGATATTGATGCACTAAGTAACCGAATACTGCTTGGGTCTGCTGGTCCAGATGAGATGGCCACACTACTGCAAAGCGGCCAAACATTCACCAAATTACACTATTTATAATGGTCTATAAGCAGATATGAACTCATTATGAGGCATTTCCCTGTAATTCCAAGCTCATATATGCAGAAACTCGTGACACCGAGTAGAATTGTGAAGGATATTTACCATGTGTCAAGAAACATGTGCTCCATGTCTAACACATATTTTCAGTCCAGTGGTTTACAGTAAAACTCTGGTATATTTGTTTAGTGGACAGAAAAAAAAACCCTGAATGAAAAATGTAGAATTGAATGAGGTTTTATTTATTTTACTCTTAAAGTGTTATGTTCATGTCATGCTATTGTTAGAATTCATCTGACTGGTAAACCAGATGTAATTTAACTCCGGTGTGAATATAGAGCTGGTACGGTTGTGGCAGTGTCATGCTGTGGGGACGTTTTCCTTCGGTCAGGAAAGGGAAGCTGGTCTCCAGGTAATAGTAGTTTCTGAAACAAACCTACAGCTGAAAATTCAGCAATAAACAAAAAAAGAAAATAAAAACAAGAAAGCTTCCACAAATTATTGACTGAGGTTTATTCAATGTAAATGCATGCCACACTTTTCAGATTTTTATTTGGAAAGAATAATGATGATAATAATAAATAAAACATGCATCAGTTTTTGTTTTGAAGTCAAGGATATGCAGAGTTTTTGGTTCAAATCTATGACAAAAAGTTAAAAAGTGCGTGAAAACGTTAAGGGACAGTATTTTGAGAGAGCAAGAAAGAGAGAGAAAGAGAGAGAGATAGAGAGAGAGAGAGAGACAAAGAGAGAGAGAGAGAGAGACCTAAAAACTAGCTTGTAACTTTATAGATGCACGGAGGAACTGGACCAAACTATGGACGTGTCTGCAACGAAACAAACTTGGGAGGTCAGAACTTTTTTTTACTGCATATCGTTTTGCATTAAAAGTTCTGCATAAGTCAGAACTTTAATGAAGCAGAACCATAATGCAATTTGGCTAAAAATAAGAAATATTCCACATTTCACACACACCCCAGAGTAGTGCTGTGGAGGAAAATTCAGGCGACTGCCAAGAGTCAAGATGGATTTTTCCTTTGGGAGCCATGACTGTTAAAAAATGTCAACTAAATGTATTCATATATGTATGTGTAATAGTATGGAATAGGGCTGACTGCACAAGAAACCCCCATGCGACTCTAAAATGGGGTCGATGTGGTTTTTAGCGATTTTGCAACTAATTTCTCCCTCTGTCATTTCAGGCTGCGGCTTCTTTAAATGGAGCAGGAAAACATTTTCCAGCATTTCTGGAAAAATGCAACCTTCTACCTGCCCTGCATGTTACAAACGAACCTATTAAGATTCCCAGAGATGTAATTATAAACAGCCTCAATTTCCTGTCGCCCTCGTTGCGTCGGCCGTCCAGACGCAACTTTCCATATTTCTTACTGGAGAAATCCCAGCTGCACCGACAACTTGCTCCCCGTGCTGAGTTGCAGAAAATAGGATGCGGCGCAGCAACGGCGCTGGTTGTCGTCTGCAGCTCTGACGATAGAGAAGTGAGATCGGCAATGAGGATTAAGGAAACAGGGGCAAAAGACGTTGCAGAGCCACAAAACAGACAAAAAGATAGAATGTGGAAAGGAATGAACTTAGAAGAGCCTCTGCAGTCAAAGATCCAGACACACAAAGATAATCTTTCAACTTTCAAAGAGGATTCTGCTTTGCAAAAAAGTCTTTGGGAACAACTTTCTTCAAAAGCTGCATCTAGTAGGGATGCAGATAGAGTTTACTTTCAGGGGCAAACCCTGCTGGCATCGAAAAAGAACAAAGGATCCATATATAGGTCACAGTACGCAATAAGGCCAGCCGGGGATAATGATATTGAATATTTCAGGAAGGAGTTAAACACAAAAGAAGCTGAGCCGCACTCCCCGCAGGGAGAGAAGGAAGCGGAAAATCCGAGCGCAAACAGAGAACAAAATGGAAACCAACAAATTTTGGCAAGCAGGTTACAAATTCAGCGGACAATTAAAGCGAATTATGCAGAAACTGTGCCATCTAAAACAGGCAAATCCAAATGTAAATGCCTTGTAGGAACAGGTCGCTTGTTGAAATTGTACCTAATGGACACAATGGAGATGACTGACATCGGATTAGCTAAAAAAGTATCAGAAGTTACTACCACTGAAGAGAATGTTGCTTTTAGAACCACGGAAGAGGCAAAAACAACAGCAGATGAATCAGTGAGACCAACGCCACCTTCAGTCAAAGAGGTCCAGACCGAAACGACAACAGCGAGGCCTCTGACTGAAGCAACCACGACGAAAATGGTGATCCAAGACACGACTGAAGTCTTCAGTCAAAGCAGCGCAACTGACATCCAGCCCAGCAGAGACCAGAGACAGACTACGCTACCTGACCCAGAGCATGAAACGGACTCTGAGCCAAGACTCAAGAAACATACAACGCCCAACGCACGAGCCACGTCTAATGTCCAGTTCTCCCGTCTCCGAATGAGAGACAACGGACGGGTAGTTGCAACGAAACACGGAGAGGACGATGAGAACTGGGCTGGAGAGGACACAAAACCCAGTCTGGTCCATCATGGAGGAGAATCACAAACCTTTTCTAAAAGTTCAGAGGTCATCCGAATGGAGGATGCAGAAAAAGATATGAAGGTAAATGAAACGTACAACAAACACTGTTATTTCAAAAGAAACATTAATATATTGATGTCTAATCATTTCCATTCATTGATGGAGAATAACGGTTTTTATTTTTTTATTACGGGTAAGCACTAGAAATGAACATGGAATCAAAGTCAAGAAAACAGTTATAACACCCTACAAACCCGTTGGCTAAGATTTTCCTGGTAGTCATCTTCCAGTTGCAGGGTTCAGTTCAGTTCAGCTCAGCTCAGTTCAGTTCACTTCAGTTCAGTTCACTTCAGTTCAGTTCACTTCACTTCAGTTCAGTTCAGTTCAGTTCAGTTCAGCTCAGTTCACTTCAGTTCAGTTCAGTTTTTTTGAGGAAAAAAATTAGATTCTGCCCAAGTAAGACCAAACTGTACCTGCCTATCAAACTTTCACATTGCATCCGTTGTGTTTTTACTTTTGCATCAGAGGAAACGGAAAGTGAAACAAAGCACGCCTGTGTGTAACAGTGCTGAAAACCAAAAGCGAAGAGATAAACACCAGGCCAGCTTCCTAACTAGAGAGAAAACAATATAGGAGTCTTTGTGTGTGTCCTGTTTGGGTCAAGGGAGCCAAACTTTATAACAACATTCTG